CGCCTTCATCCGCCAGCACGCATCCAAGTTCATCCACCAGGTCGACCCCCAGAGAGATGAGATTGACCTCCGCATCCTGGTCAACAACCCCGCTTCTCTGCCACGTGATCATCCGGGTCCCTTGTCCAGGAGCGTGAGCATCAGGTAAACGGAGACATGAACTAATAAAAAAGACTGATAAAAAGAAACAAATCAATAACGAGACGAGAAAGATTGGATGAAGAGATAGATAGAAATGTAAGATAGATTAGATAGGTGAATTTAAAAAAAAAAATGATAGGTAAACAGAGAAATAAAAAGATATGAAAGATGAGATAAAAAAAAAAAAAAAAAAAATGATTGGTAAAAGAGAAATAGAAAGATATGAAAGATGAGATAAAAAAAAAAAAAATCATAAAGAGATCGAAAGGATTAGATAAACCGATAGGTAAAAAAAAAAAAAAAAAAAAAAAAAACATGTATATATGTATGTATATATATATATATATATATATATATATATATATATATATATATATATATATATATATATATATTTTTTTTTTTTTTTTTTTTTTTTTTTTTTTTTTTTTACCTATCGGTTTATCGCCAAACTCCCCAGAACCGGAAGCGCCATCGCGCCACTCGCTCGCCACCGACATCTCGATCGGGCCGCGGGCGGTCACGCCCACCACGCTCAGGAAGCAACGGACCGCCCACGCCAACGGCACCGCGCAAGTTCACAACCCTACGTACAGGAGTGTGCCAACTGCTGACGGCGCTGACGAGCCTGACGAACGGGAGCGCTGTCAAGACTCCGCCGGTACGGTTGTCACTGACCTGACGGCGTCTTCGTCAGGTATCGTCTGTTATTCCTTGTTTCTTTCTGTTCTTCTTGCTTCCTCCTGTCACTCTCTGTTTCTGCTTCGTTCTACTAATATCAGGATTGTGATATTCTATAGGTTCACTTATTCATTTTCTAATATCCACTCTTTCCTTCGTATCTATCTTATCCATTCATTCACTCATCCATCTATCCATAATTTCATCTACTTATCTATTGTTTCGCAACGCCACTCTTTCCTTTACTCTCGACGGTATATTTCCTTCGGGTTCGTCCTTGATAAAACCATTTTCGTATATTTCCTTCGGTTCGTCCTTGATAAAACCATTTTCGTATATTTCCTTCGGTTCGTCCTTGATAAAACCATTTTCGTATATTTCCTTCGGTTCGTCCTTGATAAAACCATTTTCGTATATTTCCTTCGGTTCGTCCTTGATAAAACCATTTTCGTATATTTCCTTCGTTCGTCCTTGATAAAACCATTTTCGTATATTTCCTTCGGTTCGTCCTTGATAAAACATTTTCGTATATTTCCTTCGGTTCGTCCTTGATATTTTCGTTCTCCTTGATAAAACCATTTTCGTATATTTCCTTCTTCGTCCTTGATAAAACCATTTTCGTATATTTCCTTCGGTTCGTCCTTGATAAAACCATTTTCGTATATTCCCTTCGGGTTCGTCCTTGATAAAACCATTTTCGTATCTCTCTCTCCTCGCTTGGACTCGCAGGTCAGGACTACATGAAGGCGGATTCCTCGGCAGCGTGCACGAGTGGGTACCAGGAGGGCACGCCGGGCATCAGCGTCCCTTTCAATACGAGTTCCCTTGTGTGTTGGGCGTGGCAGGTCGCTGAGGGCATGTCTTACCTGGCGCGGAGGAAGGTGGGTGGGCGTGGTTGCCGGAGGTTCAGCGGTTCATGATTCATAGGAACCATTTTATGCGTCTATTTATTTATATCTTCACGAACTTTTTTATATGGTCTTTTTTCTATTTTTTCACTTATATATATATATATATATATATATATATATATATATATATATATATATATATATATATATGTGTGTGTGTGTGTGTGTGTGTGTGTGTGTGTGTGTGTGTGTGTGTGTGTGTGTGTGTGTGTGTGTGTGTGTGTGTGTGTGTGTGTGTGCATGTGTGTGTGTGTATGGGTGTGTGTGTGTGTGTGCATGTGTGTGTGTGTGTGTATGTGTGTGTGTGTGTGTGAATATATGTGTATGTGTGTGTGCTTGAGTGTATATATGTATTTGTGTGTCTGTATGTGTGCGCGCGCGCGCATATGTATATTTTTGTGTGTTTTTTTTTTTTTTTCTTGACCTGCTCTTGGTCTGAAAACCTTTCGTGTATTTGCGATGGACAGATCCTCCACGGAGATTTGGCAGCCAGGAACCTTCTTCTGGCGGACGAGAATGTGGTCAAGATCAGTGACTTTGGCCTCTCGCGAAACATGCACGGGGACATCTACCAGAAGAAAAGCAGTGTAAGGGATTTTTGTAGTCAAGTGTGGCACCGTGCAATTGGTATTGATTGCGTAGTTTGCAGGATAACAAATCATAACAACAGTCACGCTTACAGTGGGCAGCAGAAGTGATTTTTCTAAATAGTGATAATAGAATTCATGTTAATATGAAATAATACTGGTAATCCTATCAATAGAGCA